GCGTGCCTGTCCGTGTCCTCACGCGCACCTCTCCGAGTGTTTTCCCTCTTCCATAGAAAAAGGAAGAATCCAGTTTCACGGCGGAAGATGCAGTTCTGGCATCTGTTGGCATCGTGAAGTGCAGCCCTGACCGCGGGCTGCTGATGTCCGAGAGCATGCTCCTGGCTCTGGAGGAGCTGATCCAAGCATGCTGTGGTGAGTGGTGCACGCTCGGGCACGAGCAGCCCGAAGAAGGGAAATTTCGTGAGGCTTCTCGTGAGCTGAAGTGGGCAGAGTGTGCCCTGAGTGAGGGCAGTGTTTCGCTCCGCAGTAGTGGGAATCTTGAGCTCATGCATCCCCTCGAGCCGGTTTGTGCCCCTCCTGACAGACAGGCAGCTCGCTGCTGCAAGGGAACTGCCCAGTCTGACGTCAAAACTCTGGCTTTGCTCTCTTTTGTAGCAGGTAGAAAACATGCCCCATTGCTTATCCAGCAACATGTAAAATACCGTGAGTTGTAGTGCCAGGGCTTGCTTCTCGCTTCAGGAGCCTTTTCCCTTTACACTGGTATTCTACATGCTTCTCTTCAACGGATTTTTTCCCATTTAATTAAAGTATATCCTAATCAGACCACAGAGTCTGTAGGTTTTTTCGGGCTTTTTTTTTTTAAAAAAACAAATTTACGTAGACAGAGCACATCAGAATAACTGACAGCGCTGGTCCCTTTCAGCGTATGTTTGTTTTTCCAGCGGAAGATGAAGGTGTCCCTGTGGTTCTGGTGTGTGGCCCAAAAAACACTGGTAAATCGACGTTTAACAGATACCTAATCAATCTGTTACTGAATCGGTGAGTCTTTTCATGGTCTGTAAGTTTTTAAGTACTGCATGGGATTTAGGAGAAGGAAAAATGCTACCTGCCAAGATTCTCAGGAAAGCAGTTAGAACCGGAAGATGGATATCTTTTAAAAACAAAAGAAAGTAAAATTCAGAAAAACAGGCATTCTTGTCTTGCGTTCCTTTCAGAAGAGTTGACATTTCTATTGAGATACTACTAAATTGATGTCTTGGAGTATGTGAACTAATTGGGCACCAGCAATTAGGGTTCAGTAAGGAAGTGGAGTTACAACGTTTAAAAACGTGCAATAGTTATAGTCTGTTAGTGTCTTTGAAGATTCTTGGCAGAGAGCAGTGTAGAAGCTTACTCTCCTGAGCGCTGCATGCTTAAGTTGGAGATTATAAAGTCTGTAAATCTCAAACGGCTGCTCTCAGGGTGACCAGTTAATGTGGGAGAGGCGGTGCACTCATCAGTGCCACCTCCGATTATTGTTCTAGCTGCTTCTCTCAGCGCTGGGTGGATACGGAGCTATCGTGCTACAGTGTTTAACTGTAGGTGAGCCTTTAACGTTCTCGCTTGATTCTCAAGGGAAGGAGAGGCTTGTATAGAAGCCTTTTGGTTGTATACAAGAATTTGATTTTGACAACCTGGAACAAAACCAGATTGTGCTTCTGATGTGTTCCAGGCCGTGTCCTGTTTTTTTTTTTAGCGGACGCTAATATACAGGCTTCTCTCGCTGCAGCCTTCCCTTGGTCGAGTACATGGAATGTGACATAGGTCAGACCGAATTCACACCGCCTGGATGTGTATCTTTAAGTACCATAACGGAGCCCATTCTTGGTATGTGTTTTGACGTTTTCTACAGTTGCTGGAAACCCCTTTCGTTTCCAGAAGGTGCTCTCTGAGTAGAGGCTGTACTTTAGGTGAAGCTGCCACATCTGTCGGAGGTGCATATAGAAAATAAAACAAAGGCTGTTAAAAGTTTTCTTGCTAGGGGGCATCTAAGCTCCATGTGAAAATCTCAGTAAGCAACAGGAGGTATTTCTGCTATTTCTTGCTTTTTCTGTTTTTAAAGAGAGAACGTAGTTGTTTATAAGGGGGTGGTACAAGCTGTGCCATCTCAAAGGTGTGTTTTCAGCCTTTCAGATTGGAAAGGTCTCTTTGGGAAAATCTTTCCCAGTTTTCAGTAGCCATGGATAGAACTAGCTTGAGGAATAGAAAGTGGATTCACATAGCTTGGGGGCTGTTGTTAGGAGCATAAAAACACTAGAGCCAGAGAAATTGCTGGTATTTGTGGGCTCGTGAATTTGGGCCACTGACTAAAAAGGGTCCGGTCAGACTAATTGACTTTTTGGATAGCCTGTCATAGAAACTGTGGGGTTACAATTCACAAGTGTGTAACCAGTGATTTGAAACAAACAAACAAGGAAAAACCCCAAACAAACAAAACTCCTAGCGTGGAGTCTTGCAAGCGACAGAAAAGGTTGTTAGCATGTGAGGAGAGGACGGATTATTTTGGAAGGGATTGCATGTAGGTGCTGCAGGGATGGGAGTTTTTTGATGTGACTTGCTGAAACCACTGGAGGTTTGCTGCTTGCTTTTTCAGGTCCACCGTTCACTCATCAACAAACGCCACGTAAGATGGTGTATTATGGACAGACGAGTTGTGAGCAGGACACAGAAAGATACCTTGATGTCGTGAAGTACGTGTTCAGCTCCTACAAGAAGGAGGTGCCTTTAATCATCAACACCATGGGCTGGGTGAAAGGTAGGCAGGATAAATCTGATCTCAGGAGGTGGTGTGGAGCAGAGGTGGTAATTGTAGCAGTACGCCACCACGCTTTCTAGGCGGACCGGAACCAGAAAGCGCAGCGTACCCCGCCTCGAGCTAGTACTGGTCTTCCATAACAGTGTTCCATCCTGTTGGTGCAGCGGCAGCAGTTGTGTTTTCTCTGCTCTCTAAAGGTGAGGGCTTGCTGCTTCTGATGGATATCATTCGACTGCTGTCACCCAGTCACATCGTTCAGATGGATGTGTACGACTGGAAAGCCATGGCTCCACTCACCCCGGAGTACGTTCATGTCACTCCTGGCCTGTACACCAGAGACAAACAGCAAGCCAAGCGCAAGAAGATGAGTACGAGTGGAGCAGATGACTGGAGGTCCTCCGAAGGGGCGGGAGGTGCATCGACTCCTGAGTACAAGTTGCTCTATGTCCATCCAGAGTTCCCTCGAGCAGGGATTGCGGGTGAAGCGTAAGTGGAAGGTTTAATGCTACGTGGTGGTTAGTGGGCGTAACAAAATCGTGTGTAGTCCTGACAGCAAAGGTTCTTGCTTTGCTGCGGCCTCAAGAGCTCCGTCAAATTGGTCAGAACTTACTGCTGTACTTACTAGGGGATTATGTTTGGATAGTGTTTGTTTGGGTTTTGTGGCTGTTTTGTTTGGGGAGGTAGTGGTGTTTGGAGGGAGGTTTGTGAAGGGCTGTTTTTTTTCAGGTTGGGGTGGGAGTGGTTCCTCCCTACTCTGCTTCCAGTGACTACTGTCAGTTACTTACTTTTACACTGGGCATTCGTCCACTTGGAATATTACGTCTGCTTTTTTCCCTAATTGGAAGTTTCCTTGCCCATTGTTTAATAACAGACTTTGTTAAAAAAAAAATAAATAAGCTAAACACCACCCTTGCTAATTAATGCCTTTTAAAGTTCAAACGATGCCCTAAATCGTGCGATCCCTAAGAGATAACAAAAGCATAGCTCTGCATGTTCTTCAGTGGTGGAAGTTTTAAAAGCTAAACGTGTGAAACACTGCGTGGGGTGTCGGGTGTGAGCCGCTGCGCGCGGGCGTGCTGCCTCACCTTGATGTGCTGCCGTTGTTTTTGCAGGCGAGTGCACAGTGGCATCCTGCGTGACATGTCCATACTGGGCTACCTGGGCCAGCTGCAGTCTCCCGACGTGGGCACAGTGCTTCCGCTGCACAGTCTGGTGCCGTATCAGGTAAACGAGCGGAGATGTTGCAGAGAGCCCAGGTCATAGTAACTGGCAGTGCTGCTTGTGCTGCAGACGCTTTTCGGAAGAGGGGAAACTGCTCCAATCTGCAAAAAGATAACGACTTTGTTCGGTGTATCTAGAAGTGAGGTCTTTGTTGAGGTGTTGGTGTGACACGTGTTTTCTGTGTGTTCAGTCATTGAAACTGTTGTGTTTGCCACAGAGATAACGTCTGTCCGAGCTGGGAGCTCTCAGGGTTTTGTGTACACAGCGTTATCTCTGAACGCAAACTCAGTTGATGTTGAGCTGATGATACGTTTTTTTTTTTCCCTCTTTTTTTACCCCCTCAGGTACCTTTCAACGCTGTCGCGCTCAGGGTTGTTCACACCGACGTTGCTCCAACCAACATCATGTATGCAGTGAACGCCAGCTGGGTCGGGCTCTGCAGGATACCCGATGAAGTCAGATGCCAGACCGACGGGCCGGTCTTGCTGACGCAGACACCGGTCTGCGATTGCCTCGGCTTCGGTGAGCCGGCCCGGGAGGCCTTGAGCTGCGCTCTCACCTGTCGTGCTGTGACAGGGTGCAGAGTGGCAGAATTGCCTGCTCTTTCAAAAACAGCTGAAAAAGTGGGATGAGATTAAAAAAAAACCATCATGTATTCTCTTCTGTTACAAGCTGTGCCTCAGGTCCCTTGGTTTTTGTTAACTTGTGCTAACAGCTGTGGGGAATGTCCGTGAGTGGCACCTTTTGTAGCTTGTTTCACTCTTCTATAGCTTTTGTAGCTTGACAAATAACTTGGTTCTGGATTTGTGTTCTGAAACACCTGGCTTACGCAAAATTCCTTCAGCTTCCTGTCAGTTTCCTCCTCCAGCTCCATTTAATATTGCAGTTCTGACTTGGAGTTTGATACTGAGCTCCTGGAGTTTCTGTAGGAACATGCCAGTGAACAGGGATCAACGGTTTGGGAGGTCAGCTGTTCGTGTGTGTCCTGAGACACAGGAGAAGTGGGATACAGCCAGGCAGGTTTTTCTCAAGACATGTCTCAAATCCTTCTCGTGGTTCTAGAAAAGTCATTTACTGAAAAGAGCTTCGGCTGCATCTAGTTACACAGCCCGAAATGGTCGGGTGGAGCAAAGACTGGACTTGTTTTTCAGGAATTGTCCGAGGAGTTGAGATGGAGAAGAAGCTTTACCACGTTCTGACGCCGGTGCCTCCAGAGAACCTGAGACTAGTGAATTGTCTGCTCCTTGGAAACATTGCTATCCCAAACTGTGTTCTTGTGGGCCAGGTAGGAGTGGCATGGGAAGAGGGTGGAAGCTGACAGAGCTTAGGCGGGCTGGCAGGTTTTCAGTTTTCTTATTTCTGAGGCTTATGCGTGCCCAGAGATGTCTGGGCCTTTGCAGATGGTTATCTCACGAGGAGATTGTCCTGAATGTGTAGAAACGAGGGAGAGGAGAACATTATTCCAGTGTTCCAAATACCAGAGCGGGGTTTGTTCAGTGACAGCTTGCTCCTCTCCACCAGTCAGCTCTGTCAGTCTGTGGAGGAAAGTGCTTCCTGTTCCGTTGAAGACAGGAGTTCTTTCTGTTTTTTTTTTACTCTTTTCAGCAGGGAGTCGAGGGAGAGATCCCCTATGTCACATCCGACTATAACTACAGCATCTTGGGGTCTGGGAAGCTGAAAAAGAAGAAGCATTTCAAGAGGAGGGAATACGCGTTCGAGTGCGATTATGCCTAAAGCCTTTGGGGCCTGGGACCGTGGGATGTGTTTTATATGGAGACTGGTGGGAGCCAGGTGTGCTCCCAGAGCTCTTGGAGACCCTGGGCAGCTGTCGGTGTAGATACTACAGCATATCTGGTTTTTGATAATGTTTTATATTTTCAGTTTGTATTTTGTAATAAATATCTGAAAAATGATGGTTTGGCTTGAATTTTTTTCTCAGCCTGCGTTGACTCGGACACGGCCGATAAAAGCTGGGGGTCGTTATCGAGAGCGCTGCCGTGGATCGGGAGCGGTTCTCCGTTGGAAGCCTGGCTTCCGCTTAGCTCTGAGTTTCGGGGAGCGATCCGCGGTGGTGTGAGCATAACTTCACGGTAGCTGTAACCCCGGGCTGCTGGCGGTTTGGGGAAGAGCTCGTGCCAGTAGTTTGCTCCTGGGCACTGCGACTGGCTTGTGTCTTCGGCTGTTCCACGTGTCGAGGAGACGGGAGGAAGGAGCAAGTTGGAAAGTCCTCCTCCTCTCCTGGCTCTGAGTTTCGGGGAGCGATCCGCGGTGGTGTGAGCATAACTTCACGGTAGCTGTAACCCCGGGCTGCTGGCGGTTTGGGGAAGAGCTCGTGCCAGTAGTTTGCTCCTGGGCACTGCGACTGGCTTGTGTCTTCGGCTGTTCCACGTGTCGAGGAGACGGGAGGAAGGAGCAAGTTGGAAAGTCCTCCTCCTCTCCTGGGTGACGGTGGATGCGGCCGCTGGAGGGGTCTCGCCGCTCGTTCCTCTTGGCGGCCGGCTCTGGCCGCGCACCCGGCTGCTGTGGTTTGAGCTCCGTGCTGTGAGCGCGGCTCTAGGAAGAGCTCTGGGTCTCACTGGAACGCGTCACCCGGCTCTGTCGGAACAGGTGGTGGGACAGGTGCAGAGGCTGAGCTGGGAGGAACGGGGAGGATGGTGCACCGGGGCCTTGGTTGCACCCGACTCTCCTTGCTGTCTCTTGCCCCACTGGGACGGGCTGTTTATTTATTTATTTGTTTTTTTTCAGCTCTTCGCTGATGCAGCGATTTGCTCCTGAGAGAAGATGAGGTTGGTGGGAGTCGCAAGAGGTGAGCGAGCGGCAGGCTGAGTTGAGGACCTTTTTGGGAAAACCACTGCGGAATGGGTAATACTGGTGCGTTGGGCGTTTAACAGATCCTTGACTGCAAAGACAACCTGGCTTCTAACCAGGGTTCCCGCTAATGTGGCACGGCTCTGCCCGTGTCCTGGAGCAGGGAGACAGTCTGGCCCTGGGGTCCGCAGCCCCCTGTGGCAGGTTCCTGTCCTGTTCCCCTGGGGCCAGGTGGGTCTCTTCTGCATCGCTCTGTGCAGGATCTGGCAGCTCCTGTGGGCATGAGCAAAAATCTGCAAAAAATGTTTTTATCCACTTTGCGGGATTTCCTAGCGCTCCCAAAGCGTACCTGTAAATGAACTGATGAAACAGGACAACTGCTGGGGGGGACGGGGCAGGAGAGGAGCTGCGAGGGACCGTGCGGCAGCGCTGCCTTTAAAGAGTTAAAGTTTTATCCTAATCCTGGCCTAATTGTCCCCATCTGGCTGGGTCTGGCATGGAGGCAAGGACTTGGCCGGCAACCTGGCCTGAACAGTGGCTAAAATAAATATGGGAGCTGTCGTGCAGCCGGGGGAGAATCCCAGGCGAGGCGGGGGCTGAGGGCATGGGGGAGCAGGTGGGAACGGCACCGAGAATGGTGAGCAGTGAAACCCCTGGCGCTGAGCACCCCCTTGGCGCTGAGCACCCCCTCGGCGCTGTCGCTGGCCCCAGCACCCGCCTGGCCCAGCGGAGGGGGGGCGGCCCTGCGCCCGCTGGGGCGGGGGTGGGCCCC